AAGTTGTACAGGCACCAAAAGGCATAGCCATCATTTGGCACAGGAGCTTTACAGATATAAACCAGAATGGGTGCTGTACAACAAAGTATGCAGGAGGAGAAGCGTGCCAAAGAGGAGATAACTTGGATGGGAAACGAATCACAATAGTGTGCATTATATTGGCAATGCACACTGATTACACTGACAGCTTCAGTTTCAGCTTTTCCTTTCCTATTACAGATCAGAGCAACTCTCTAATTACTGCAGATGAAGCCCTGATAAGCTGAACCATCCTGCCCTCACTTGGGACAAGACACTTGAATTCCTCTGCTTAAATCAGTGACACACACCCAACCCAAACGGAGCATTCATAAATACCTTTTCAACTTTAAATTGAGTAAATAATTGGTTTGCATCACATTGAATCGTAGTCATAAAAAAGCAAAAGTGTTATAGTATCTGCTTAAATGCATCCACAACCATGCAACATTTGTAACACACACACTCCTGAAGGATGTGAATGCTGACAAAGAGCAAACTTATTGCCAAGTCCATAAACTTGTGAGCAAAGACCCACTCAGGGTCTGTAATGTTTTTCCAGTGGGGGAGTAAGCACCTCTGGCTGTGGATCAGTCAGGTTGTGTGACTGCTRGGGTAAGTTACRCTGCTGACTAAAACCGAGGCCATCRATTTCCTGTTAGTTCTCAGCCTCTGCCTCACTAACAGGCTATTTCCCACACTGCCTGTGAGGCGCCTCAAATGTTCCCATGACTCTCGTCACATAAATGGGAGAGAGAGCTTCCAGTATTCCTATGCTCAAATGTGATTATTAAGAACACAATATTTCACCATGCTAAAATTCAGGTAGCTATAATAGAAAGGGAGCTACTACTCCTTCATAGATAAAAATGCATCGCAAGGAGAGCTGGCTGTTCAATTTAAGTGAGGAGTCAAAGTTTATTCAGGATGCAGTTTCGAGACATTATCTGTCTTCATTTTCAGTTTCTTCATTACTGCTGTAAGTCATCATTTGGGTGTCATGATGAATCACTTAACACATCAATCCTCAGTGAAAAACAGACTATTAAATATGGATTAATCATGCAGGTGCTTCTTGGCAATGCACAAGCCGACATATGCACACAGCATATTATCGACCAGAACAGGAGAGGGAAACAGGACTGTTGTGATGTAAAACTCAATACTGTCACTCACTTTATTTCCAAAGTCTTTGTGTGTTTAGATTTAAGTGCGAATGGTCAAACCTGGACGAGGAGGCAAGTGGAGTGGTTGGGCTATTTTCAGTCGACTTTTTAGATCCTCCCACCTTCGCTGGTCCACTGTTAGCAGGGCAGTACCCTGATAAATGAAGAGACAAAACATTTCAAACATGAAAGTGGTGTTTCTGCTGTATCTGCTATAGGTCCACAGTAGATATCATGTAATACTGTTTCAGTGATCTCTTTGGCAAAAATCATCATTCTCAGAGTTCAAGTGTTTTGTCAGAGGGAAAATGTAACCGAGGACCATTTTATATTCAAGCTTCTTACTTTGTTCTCATTGAAGTTTGCAATGACCACTCCGACAAACAGAGTGAGTCCGATCATGCATCCCAGAAACACAAACACATGAATGTAGATGCCATGAATCTGCAAAAGACAGAACAGAACAAGAACATTTTACATAAATTTAGGCTACAGCAAAAACAAAAATGATTTAGTTTGAATATGTTAGAAAGGAAAAAATCTGCACCGGTCCAACGCGGTGAATAATGACATCTCGGACTTCTACCCAGCCTTTGAGTGACAGAACTTCAAACAGAGCCAACATGGCATTTCCTACRTTGTCAAAGTTAAAATTTCGGGGATTGGCCCTGAAAAAAAAGAAGTTGGAGATTGTAAATATTGGCTTTGCAAAACAAGCTTAAACCAATAATTTTATTAAAATGGTTAAAAAATAAAGTCTTACCAAACTCTTGGTACCCAGAAACCAGGTTTCTTCTCTTCAGCCTTTAGCCTCAAGTTCAAGTTTCTGGAAACGCTAACGTTTATTCGGAAAATACCGTGGCAATCATCCTGTAACCAACAACATGAAGAAAAACAAAACATAAACTGTAATATTATCAGAACAAGTACAACAGAAGAAGTTTTTTATTTTTTTTAAAACTTGAATCTCCTCCTTGAGTTCAACAATTAACACTGAAAGTAAACTGATGAACCAACCATACTTCAAAATCGAAGTAGGGTTCTGTGAAAAGGTTAAAACAATATCTTAACCATAAACACCCGTACATAATCACATAATGAGAGTGTAAACGTTGATCAAATACAGTTTGAGATTTCTTGTTGTTTAAGGTGATCTGGACCTTGCTCAGGCAAGACTTTACCTTTTCAATTCTGTCAAAATTATTTTTTATTTCTCCAAACTGAGATTGTTCAAAACTATGCAACAGGTTAAATAACATTTTTTTATAAACTTAAGGTCTGCACTTAAAAAAACTAAACTATTGCTTTATCTTGATGATAATAATGTCCTTATCAGAAACAGCAGCCAAATAATAGAAAAAGGATCTAAGCAGTAATAATAAATTCATTTTGACAAAAGCATAATAACAATCTGCAAGAAAAAAAAAGTTACTACACATGCTTGACTTTAATATTGCTTTTTTACTATTTAGCCAGTGATTCATGCTGAATGTGTAGATAGAAGGCAAGAGTTAGAATTAGATTAAGTTTCTTGCAGTACCCGTCTGAGTATACGAGGGTCGTTGCACTTGGCCAGCTTTCCAGCGAACAGTTGAACTCCGAAGCTTGCAAACACCAGCATCAGTGTGAGGAGCAGAATAGATACCTGATGGAAAAACAATCAAGAGTTCAAGACAAATGGCATAACATAATGCAAGTTATTATGAACAATTTTACAACAATATTTCTAAATTCCTAAAAATGCAAAGCTACATAAAAAAATGGCTGTATTTGTATTTGAGCACTTACCAGGAAAATCTCCTTGAATCCTTTAAGGACCTCCCGCACCACCTTTCTCATTTGGGGAACAAGCTTGAAGATCCTTAGCGGCCGCAGGCAGCGCAGCATCATCAGAAGCTGAGCTCCAGACTCAGGGGGAACATCATGGGGCAGCCAGCACAGAAAAATCAAACTTATCTGCAAATATCATACCATAGCTGAATCAAGATTTTGTGAAACCTGAATATACTCACAAAGAAAGTAATAATATGCAAGAATGGACGAGTTTCTAAGCATGTTTTAGAAAGGCTGAGACAGTGAAACCGGCACAACTTAACAAAAATGAATTGAACACTTTAATTATAAAGATATGTTAAAAAAAACAGTTGCTAATGTTCAGCTTGAATACCAAACATTGAATATTATTAAACATGAATAAACTATGTAAATGTACCCATGGTTTTAAATTTTGATTTGTATTCATTCATAAAGTTGCAATAGCTACTTTTATTTTTATCATCATTTGTTTTTATGCTAATTTTAAACAAAMAGCTAAGCAACCAGACCAGGGGTCTGCAACCTTTATAATCAAAACAGCAATTTCTGCTGCTTGGCTCACTAATAAAATGTATCCAGAGCCGCAAAACAAGCTACAACTGCGATTATCAATTGGTGGTCTGTGGGTCTTTTTGAGGCCTTTTCGGGAATCTTTACGGCCAGTGGACGTGACATTATACAACTAAAATATATATTGTGAATTTTCTTATTTATTAGTATTTTTGCACATCAGGAGAAATGAAAAGACCAGATTCATGTAAACAAGAAAAATACCATATATAGTTTATACCAAATTTCATAAAAACTAGTACATCTGAACTATTCATCCATCCATTTTCTGTACACGCTTCTTCCTTTTCAGGGTTGCGTGGGTCACTGGTGCCCATATCCAGCAGTCAGTGTGACGGGCGGGGTACACCCTGGACAGGTCACAAGTCCATCACAGGGCCACACATAGAGACAAACAACCATTCACCCTCACCTAGGGACAATTTAGAGTTATCAATTAACCTAACAGTCATGTTTTTGGTCTGTGCGAGGAAGCTGGAGTACCCGGAGAGAACCCACGCATGCACGGAGAGAACATGCAAACTCTACCCAGAAAGTTCCCCGGACCGGGATTTGAACCGGTGACCTTCTTGCTGAGAGGCATCAGCTCTACCAACTGAGCCACCGTGCCGCCACATCTGAACTATTCAGGCATATTTTTTTCTAATTCTTCTTATTATGTAGGCTTCAAATTCTTTAAAGGTAATTCAGATGGATTTGAGAGAAAGATCATAGAAAGACGTTGGATTATTTAAGTAAACAACAGAGACACTTTCTGATACTACGTCTTAAAAATACCTTAGAGAAAAAGATCTGGAGGAGACGCCCAAATAAGCTTGAGCTAACATGTTTTACTTTTTGTATTAGTAGTATTGATCACATATTTACATACAAATTGATTTTTGTTGTGAGTATAAAAAAAATTCTGTTATGTTTAGTTACATTTGAAAAGAGGTACTGCAGAGGGACCAAATAGCCACATGTGACCCCAGAGCTGCAGGTTGCAGACCCCTGAACTACAGTCTAAATGCTACTTAGGGATATTTTTGTCAAATAAAATATTTATTAACATAATTTTACCACATTTTAAAGCTGAGGTCATAACATCCTTTTATAAACACAGCTGTCTGCATTTTCTGTTGRTTAAACTGGTCATTGTGCTTTTGTTATTACAACTGTCATTATAAACTTTACATTATTACCCTCTGTATTTCCTCCTTTTGATCAAATGCTGCTGATATTTGGTTGATAATAAAATACCTAAAACTTACATGGTGAGTTTTAAACTCTCTCTTCACTTCTTCCCAAAGAGTTGCGTTTTGTTTTTGCCAAAAAAATTGGAGTTAGAATTTGACTGTTTTGCTATTTAACCAGACTACAATTAAAAACAAATGAACCAAATGGAAAAAATAGTGTAGGGACTCCAAAACTAGACAGAACTACTGATAAAAAATATGCTTAAAATTTTATTTTCTTTTTTTAGATGGAAAAACTCCTTTTATTTTCTTACAAGATAGATGAAGATGTCCATCACCCCTCCAAAGTCTCGGATGACAGCAGTGGGGGTGAAGAACAAGCCATCGGCCATGATCTTCAGGTTGAGCTCAATGCTCATGAATATCACAAATACATACTCTCCAATCTGAAACAGATATGGCGATTATAACGACATCTGTGCGCTTGTGAATCCGCCTGCCTGTTCATGTGACCGTCAGTCCATCTGGTTCTAATACCTGCAGAGTGGGGACGTGCATGACCCGGGTGAAGGGTGACTCAAACATCATGGAGATGCAGGAGCAGATGGTCACTACAATCATAACCCAGTCCAGATAGGTGACTAAGCCCAGGAGATCACTGCGAGGGCACACAAATTAATACAAACATTTAAGCTGATTTATATCTTTGTGAAAACAAAATATGACTTGGAAAAATATTTGAACCTGGAAACAGCATAAATATAACATTCTGTCGCAGTAATATAACATGTTTTTGTAAATTTATAACAAAACAATGAAGATATGAGGAAAAACATGCAATCTCCACACTATAGCAGAGCTCWGATGCAAACCTTTTTATTGTGATGCAAACATTTCACTATAAATATATTGTTTAATCAATTATATATTTTTAAAGTTGAGGCATTTCAACAGTATGTGATTAAAACTTTTAATTTGGCATAGCACAGTGTTGTTAAATCTTTCAATTTTTTTCGCACTGTCATTTACATAAAGCACACACACTCCTAATTGTCTTCTTAACAAGCAGTGTTTTAATTCACAAAAGCTTACCTTTGGATCTATTTAAATAATTATAGTGCTCAGACAAAATAGGTTTACAAAGTGGCAACAAATAAAAATGCATTATCAGAGATAGTTCTATTTTAAGAAGTAAAACAGTATCTAACACAGAGGGACTGCTTGTGAGTTGAGTAATCTTTCTCTCTACTTGGCCTAACTTGGCTTTTATAATGAGTARGATTAATTTTCCAGCCCTGCACTTTATATTTTACATCCTAACCAAAGGAAAACAAGTCAGGCTGTTGATCAACTGCAGAATAAATGAGTTTTACACAGAGAAGAATGAACAGACTGATTAAATGTACAAAAATCAATATTTAGCCACACTTACTACAGCTGGTGGTACTTAGTGTTCTTCACTGCTCCTGTGTTTGGGTCAGTTTTTGATCTGAATATAGGAAAACAAAATTTTTGACAAAGAAGGCACAACTGTGGAGAGTTTCTTACAGAATTTAATTCAAAAGAAAAAAGTCACTTTTAAATAACATCATTAAACATGAGATTTTGAAACCTAATACACATAGTCTGTCCAAAGAAATTTGATATTTTGGACCAAACTTACACATTAAAGCGCGCTCGGACGATCATCCTGCAGAAGTTCCTAAAACGATGCTCACGACCCACAATGAAAAGAGGTTTATCAAAGTAGGGATGGTTCTCCCTCAGCTCCTCTTCCTGCACTTTTCTGCTCCGTCAAACAAACACAACGGCTACATTCACACTGCAGTCAAATGAAACTCAAATCCAATTTTTTTTTTTGCCACATGCGACCCATATCAGAATTTTTTTCTTATAGTCTAAACGTGACAAGTCCAATTTTTTTAAAATCTGACCCAGGCCTTTACAGTATGTGGTACTGAATCAGATACATATCTGATGTTTTTCCAGTTACGCTGTTTAAATCTTGTAGCTCCACATCTCTTCAGCTACTGAACAGAAGTTCAGTTGCTGCATCTTTATTCTTTCAATTTTCCATGTTCTGGATGACTGAGACTCTGTAGAAACATATGATAGTAAAACCGTATCGACACTAACGTTATTWAATCAATACTTTTCTYCTACCAYGTCGCTTTGTTCCAAAAATAAAATGCTACACAGCATCTGGTCAGAGGCAGGTTTAGATATGAATAATGAACTAAACAAGCATTTTAGATAATTATTTAATTGGTTATGATTGCACAACAACTTCAGAACCGGCATACTAATAAGTAGTATCCATATTTAGCTACTTCTGTAAACAGCCAGCTTCAGGCTGTGGAGAGTTCACACCGGAGTTGAAGGCAGTCATATTTAAAAAATAATTTGAAGGCCCATGCAAAAAAAAAAATTGGATTTTTGCAAAAAAATCTGAATTACATCTTAAGACCTACAGTGTGAACACAGCCTTAGTTAAAGCCATAAAAAATACAAAAAGACAGGTTGAAAAGTTATTTGTTTGAACAGTGTAAATCCTAGTCTAAAAAAAAACCTTTTCARTTCTGCTTGTTCTTTCTTTTCCTGGATCATCTTAATCTCGCTGTCCTCCCTCTGAGAGTTGCGGTAGCGCACCGTGCTGGAATGCTGGGAAAGGAGACACAAGATAGAGAATATAGTWCACATTTTCTTTAAAGTGTTTACCTGTTGTTTGTTCTTCACACAAGTCTTTTAGTACAGAGGTATAAATGCAGACACAGTCATGTGTGAGAACATAGATTCATAGTTTCAAGGCAGCATTCTATACAATATGTTTGTCAGGATGGGATGTTCTGTACTTACATCTTGTGTAAGAGTCTCCAGCGACTTTCCTCGGCTGATTCTTTGACTAGTGGAGCCATGTCGCAGGGATCTGCAGAAGCAATAAACAAGCATTAGGAAAAGTTATGATTCTCACGGTACAGCAGAAGTATACTTGTGCTACATTTTGTGGGCGTTATCAGACCTGCGCTCTTGCCGTATGTGATGCTGCACACTAAGAATGGAGCGGTCTTTGGCTGGCTGGCCTTCAAAGGATCCACTTTGCCCACGCTGTGTGGTGCAAGCCCTGGGAAACATAAGCACATGATTTATTTATTCATTTTTTAAAATATCACTAAATGAGAAAGACCCATCTGGATCTTGTTTAGTACCCCACGAATCAAGCTACTTTCAGCTGATATCATTTTGGACCCAGAAAATTAGTGTCCCAGTCTTTCACTGTGACACAGGCTCCAATTGTTCCATTAGCCAGARAGTGCATGTGAGGGGTCCTGTCTATTCTGCCTAACAGCAGAGTTGAGTACCAGAACACAGCTAATGACACTGTGGGTACCAGCGGTGTGCATACCTTAATCATTTATGGCAGCTCTGAGCAATTACATGTTTATTGGCAACAAGTACACACAAGCGGCTGCCATTAATGGAGCGTATGTGTTTGAGCCTGGATGTGCGGAACACGGCAGGCCAGACAGAACGTGTTATGATTACTGATCTGCTGCCTAACTGTCAGGCAGAAAGAGTTTGGKGGGTGAGGTGGGGGGTGGACACAGTGTTTGCAATCTAATCTGCACTTAGTGCCAGCTCTGCCATGCTGAACAGCAAATTAMCCATTCATTTTTTTCATGTCAGTAGATGAGTCTGAAGTGGCGCTGTTTGTGTGCTTCTGTGTGTGTGTTTGGGTTGGGTGAGCACAGATGAAAAGAAAGACGGCAAAGCAAAAGGTGCTACTCCTATTATAAAATAAATATATATGAAATATCCGATAGTCGAACCTCAGATTCAGGAGGAGCAGTGCGGTTTTCGTCCTGGGCGTGGAACACTGGACCAGCTCTACAC